AACAAGTGTCAATCAGACTAACAAGTGCCACACAACACAAACCAGTGTGTGAGTGTTGATGAACGATTCATTAAAAGAATCAGTTCAAACGAGTCATTTGTTTTGTGAATCGGACCACACTGGTCAGTCTGTTTGTTTTTACGTGCTGCTCACAAGGATGGAACAACTTTGGTGATCTTTTATCACATCAAATTCACACCTTTGGTTAAACATGATTTATTTTGCCGTGTCGGAGTAGATTTAATGCGGCATAAACACTGGCATAACCGAACGGCAGCCTATTTTCACCACAGAAGAAAAACATTATGCTTTGGTAAATCTTAATAAAAAGTGAAAAATACAACATACTAAGTCATATTTATGAGATAAATAGTTAAACTTTTTTTTGTTTTTCGACTTAGTATGCCATAATTATGACTATGAGATAAAAAGTGGGAATTGAAATAATAAGCTGAATTGTTATATGAAAAAGTCATTATGATATAAAAAGTCGTAATTATGACATACTAAATCAGAATTATGAGATAAAAAGTCACAATTATACTAAGTCATAATTATGAGAAGTCAATTATGAGAAAGTCAAATTTATGATAGAAAGTCAATTATGAGATAAGTCAAAATTATAACAAATAGTCATAATTATGTGAGGAAAATACAGTTATGAGATAAAGTCATAATTATGACAAAATGTTAAAATTGTGACAAACTAAGTCATTACGAGATAACAGTCGAAATTATGACAAAAAAATCGAATTGTCATAATTATGAGTTTTTATCTCATAATTTCTTTTTATGTCTTAATTTTGGCTTTTTAAATCGTTTTTATTTATCAAAGCATGATTTAGCATGATTGTTTTGTGGTGGAAATGGGGTTCCATGTGAAAGTGACTTTGAAATTTTAGCGATCTGTTGTGTTAGTGTTAGCAACCCTTAGCAACCACCCACAACACCAGAGCAACTGCATAGCAACCCCCTAGCAACCACCCACAACACCTGAGCAACTGCATAGCAATCCCCTAGCAGCCACCCACAACACCTGAGCAACTGCTTAGCAACATATTAAAACCTCTGACAACACCTGAGCAACTGCATAGCAATCCCCTAGCAACCACCCACAACACCTGAGCAACTGCATAGCAACCACCCACAACACCTGAGCAACTGCATTGCAATCCCCTAGCAACCACCCACAACACACGAGCAACTGCATAGCAACATACTAAAACCTCCCACAACACCTGAGTATCACGGCGACTCCAGAAATAATCCAGATCGAGTTGTAATTCGCCCACAGACGGTCTGTTAGTGCTGGTGGAAGCACTAGCGTTAGTCATGCGTTCCGAGCGTTTCTGCTCTTTTCAGCCGTCACCGCAGCTGACGTGTACTAGTAAAGACAGACAGCTGGAGGACATTTCCCATGATGACTCCCGCAGCAGTGTGCTGCTGTAAATATGCTGTGTGATCGTGGTGTGTCAGAGCGCCACCTGCTCTCGCCCGCGGTCTGTGTGCGCAGAACACCTGCTGACCCCCACAATGCCCTGCGTTTGTGAGAGAACCATCTGAGACGAGGGTGACATGGAGCTCCGCTGCTCAAACCATCAGCAGACATGAAGCGTATTCTGAGACGACACATGAACCTCAGCTGGAGAGTAATGAGGAGATCTGAGGGAAGCTGGGACGCACGGACAGGCCACACGCAGATGAACGGATATGATTGGACCAGCGCGTAACCTACTCATGTGCATACTATTACTATGTATGCTGTGCATTGCTGTATGCATACATTTTTCAAAATTAAAAAAAATAAATTTCAAAATGACTGAGAATATCATCTGCATGTAGAATTTTTTTTTTACTTTTAAAAAGATTTTTAATAGTTTATTATAGTTAACTAAAACCAAAACTATATAAAAAGAAAAAAAAAGAAAAAATGACAAAAAAAAATTACTAATCTAAAATTAAAATGAAACAGAAAATATTAAAAACAAACTAATAAAAAAAAAACTATATAAATAGTACATATAGTAATATAATATAATATAATATACAATGTATTGGTGATTAGAATGGCAAAAACATTGGCCATTTAGCAGAAGTTGTAGTTCATTTTTGTGTTTTTATTTTAAGTAAAGAAAATTGTGGAGGGAAAACTTCTTACTGAAAAAACACTGGGCTCAGCAGATGAGATATGGCATGAACATGTCAGAAATTACTGTACGCTCATAAATCTGACACTGACTGATGAGATATTGTGCTACTTTCTGATTATTTGTTTAAATCAGTCTCTTTCTTGTTAGTGTGAATTATTAAGAAACATTCTTGTATATATCATGTCATTTTGCATAACAAGCATATGAATGGTCTGGTTGTCTGTGTGTGCAATAATTCATATAGCAGTAAAACAGCTGAGCGTCTTTGACAGAGAGAATACTTTCAGAACATGAGCTTCCGTCTCAAATTACGTTTACTCAAATTAAGCTTTACTTAAACGTAAACACACAGCAGTGTTCATTTGTGCATCGAAACATAAAGTGTTGGACTCACGCAGACGGCAGAGAAACATCCGTCGGTGAGTTTCACCGACAGCAGCACAAGCGCTTTATATAAACCCATCAGCAGAGGTCAGGAGAGGTCAACTCCTCTCGCACACCAACACAGTGCACTTGTGTCAATTCACCCTCCCTCACTAGTGTGCTACTGCTCAATTTCCTAATAATATTTCACAATATTACTACAATATTACATCCACTGTGTGCATTAAAATCTTATAATCCTTGTAATACATGTTGTGTGTGTTTTATTATTTGTTGTGTTATTATATTAGTATCATTGAGATGCTATTATAGTTTTTATTAACATTTTGAGTTAGTTTTTACATTTTCTGTTTTTATTTGAATGTTAAAGTTTTAGTAAATGTATTGTGTTGTTGTCATTTTTAATATTATTATTTTTAAGTGTGTGTGAGTGAGTGAGTGAGTGAGTGAGTGAGTGTGTGTGTGTGTGTGTGTGCGTGTGTGTGTGTGTGTGCATGAGTGAGTGAGTGAGTGCGTGTGTGCGTGCGTGCGAGTGTGTGTGTGTGTGTGTTTATACTATTATTGTTTTAGTATCACTAATATAGTACTATAGTTTTTATTAATATTTTGAGTTAGTTTTTATTTTTATATTTTCTTTTTTAATTTTAATTGTAAAGTTTTAAAGTTCAGTATTTCTTTCCAGTATTCTTGAATATGTGGGACCTCTTACGTTAATTTCTTATTTTTTTCCATTTTATGTTTATTCTGAACATTCATTTGAGTACAATCATATAGCATATTTCAAGTTACAAACAATGCTCAATGCATCCATGCATCCAACTGTCTTTAGAATATAGACATGTATAATTACCTAATGTGTTTTAAATATAAATTATACTCAAACTTTGTTAAATTGTATCAAAGTACAACAATTCAAATAAAATTAAAAAACACAAAAAGGGTAACTATATCCATCCAGGGTTATAACATGTGTCCTAATTCAGTTCCATCCAGAATGACCTCAAATGACTTTCATTATATATGTAGACATTAAACAGAGGATGTATATGTACACACACACATAAGCATAAATTATATACATATATCCATCTATACATTAATCATCTTCTACTTATTTATAGCAGCAAAACCAGACCTTCTTTCTGATACATATTCAACCCATTTCCTCCATTTTCCCAGAAACACATCCTTCTTTAAATTAACAAAAAAAAAGTGATTTTTTCCATCATATAAATCTCTATGGTCACATCTATCCAGTTATCTAAAGTAGGTCTCTCTTGTTTTAACCATTTACGTGTGATTGCTTTCTTACTGGCTGCCAAAAGCACAGCCATCAGGTATTTATTATCTACTGTTACTATATCTGGACATATGCAGCCAAAATACAGCAATTTGATTTCTAGAGGTATGTATCTTCTAAAAAAAAATATTCAAGAGCTTCCTGTATTTCTTTCCAGTATTCTTGAATATGTGGGCATTCCCAAAATTTATGGTTTGCTTCATTACCTCCACAGTTTCGCCAACATTTTGGAGAGTTATTACTATTGTATTTTTATTGTATTTGGCCATTTGTACTGGTGTTTTCAAATATCTAATAATATTTTTCCAACAATATTCCTTCCAATTTAATGAGCTAGCTCATTTCCATATAGTTGACCACTCTTCATCAGTAAAGATCGTTTCACTCTCTGTCATCCATTTCTCTTTGATAAAAGTTGTGGAGCGTGTTTTCATATTTTTCAAACACTTGTAGATCTGAGACTTAACTATCTTATATCTAATACCTGATGCGTGTGCCTTCTCAAGTAAGTCTATCAATGGGTTCAGATAATCTTCTAGTTTTCCTTTTGATTTTTGATCATAATAATGTCGAACCTGAAGGTATCTGTAAAAATCTTGATTTTCTAGAAAAAAACTTTTTCTTTAATAACTGAAAGCTTAAAATGTCACCTTTCTCAATGATGGTGCAAAAAGAAGTCATTCCCTTATTTGACCACAATTTAAATCTGTTATCAAACTTGTTTGGGGTGAAATCTGAATCATAAGCAAACCATTTCAAGACTGTACTGTATTCCAACAATTTATTACATTAATTTCTATATGAAAATAAGAAATGTTTCCTTGGCAGCTAGCTGAAATAATATGATGCAATTTTTTTGTCATTTTTAATGATTATATGTATATTTATTTGTATAATATGTAAATTTTTTGTAATATGTTGAATATATTATTGCACATTTATTTATGTGGCCAGAATCAGCCAAGAACCTTTTAGTTCCTCGTTGTGTTTTGATGATTTTTTTTCCCCCCACAATAATTTGTTGTGTTTTCATTCATTTTTAGATCATGAGAAAATGCTGACTATGGCAAAGCAATATCAAATGCTAGTGGCTTGTGGGGAAAAAAAAAAAAAAAATTATTTCCATTATTTTTAAGCAGCCGCTCTGGTCTCTGTCTTCCCTGCAGGTGCTGTCGCTGGGCGCTGACGTTCTGCCGGAGTACAAGCTCCAGACGCCGCGCATCCACAAGTGGACAGTGCTGCACTACAGCCCGTTCAAGGCGGTGTGGGACTGGCTGATCCTGCTGCTGGTGATCTACACGGCCATCCTCACGCCGTACTCCGCCGCCTTCCTGCTCGACGGAGACGAGGACAGCTCGGGGCAGAACTGCAGCTACTCCTGCAGCCCGCTCAACGTGGTGGACCTCATCGTGGACATCATGTTCATCATCGACATCATCATCAACTTCCGCACCACCTACGTCAACACCAACGACGAGGTGGTCAGCCACCCGCTGCGTATCGCTGTGCATTACTTCAAAGGCTGGTTCCTTATCGACATGGTGGCCGCCATTCCCTTCGACCTGCTCATAGACCGCACCGGGGAGGAGATGAGTGCAGAGGTGAATCTGTGCTCCAGCTCTTGTGTACTCATTTATCTTTTACACTTCAAACTTGCCATTTTCTACTGCATGTGCTGTCAGGTCTTATGATAAATTGCTTGCCTCGCACCTCTTTTATATCCTCATTTCACACTTAGAATAAAAGTGTCTGCTAAACGAATAAATGTAATATACAGTATGTTTTCTGCAGGTCTTAAAAAGTTTTAATTCATGTTTCCACAAATTAAGGTCTTAAATCAGAGCAGAAAGTTTTAAATTCATGAAGTCATGACATTAAATTTTGCACGCACTGCAAAATGAATACTTTGATTTTTGTTGTTTTCCAATGCTAATATCTAAACTTCCTTAAATCAAGATACATTTACTTGAGATTCATCAGTTATTTATAAAACAAGAGTTATCTTATGTCCTTTTTATTCTCAAGTAAGTGCATCTTGTTTTAAACATCTTTAGACATTTTCACTGGAGAACAAGACAAAAATACAAAAGATCATCACTTGTTTGCAGAGGGATCAGAAGCTACAGTAGAAGTTATTTAAGTCTTTTAAGTTATTTATTTATTTAGTCAAATGAATTCAAAAGTAATGAAGATCTGTTGGAAGTTGTATTGTCAAACACTGAAGAGATTCAGAGAACGTTCAGAGGCCATATTGACATGAAGTCATGGCATTAAATGTTGCATACATTGCTAAAAATGAATATTTTGCATTTTTTCTTGATTTAACATCCTTAAATGCATTTACTTGAGATGCACAATGAACATATGAAGTCTTGTTTTCTGAGAAACAGAACAGAATTAAATAAGTGTATGCTTAAAACAAGAACAAACATCTGTCAGTGGAGAATAAAAACTTATTTCCCTTTGAATTAAATTACCTCATTGGCAGATATTTGTTCTTTTTTATTCATAACTCACTTCATTTTGATCAATTTCACATAAAACAAGACTTATATAATTTTGCTTCTTAAGTTAAATGTATCTTGATTTAAGAATCTTTAGACATTTGCACCGGAAAACAAGACAAAAATACTGAAGAACTTTTTTTTTTTTTTTTTTTT